CTGCTACCATCTACCCTACTGCAAAAACAAAATGAACCAAGGTTGGTTACTATAGCTGAGAAAAGTCTATTTATGAAGAAGCACGAATAGAGAGAGCTATTTGCAAAGGTAAACCTGTTTATGTTTTGCTACTAGTAGGAAACAGGTTCGATGATGATGAAACTCCTTTGCATGCCGTTGTTCATCCGCTTTTAGAAGAGTTTAAAGACGTTTGTTCTTCTGATTTACCTCCTGAATTACCTCCACTTAGAGGTATTGAGCATCATATCGATCTATTTCCAGGAGCATCCCTTCCTAACAAACCAGCCTACCGATGTGATCCAGAAAAGACTCGAGAACTACAACGCCAAGTCCAAAAACTCATTGACCGTATTTATGTACGTGAAAGCATGAGTCCTTGCTCTGTTCCAGCTTTGTCGGTCCCAAAAAAAGATGGGACCATGAAATGTGTGTTGATAGTATAGCCATCAATAATATCACGGTCAAATATCGCTATCCTATTCCGAGGTTGGATGATATGCTTGACGAACTTCATGGCGCCAATTTGTTCTCGAAAATTGATCTTCGGAGTGGGTACCACCAGATCATAATGCGTGAAGGAGATGATTGGAAAACCGCATTCAAAACAAAAGGTGGGTTGTATGAATGGTTGGTAATGCCATTTGGACTTTCCAATGCTCCTAGTACTTTTATGAGGTTGATGAATGAGGTTCTTAGACCTTTTCTTGGTGATTTCCTTGTTGTATACTTTGATGATATACTTGTGTACAGCAAAGGTGTAGAAAAACATACTCAACATTTAAGAAGAGTATTTGAAGTGTTGGGAAGCCAAAAACTCTATGGGAAGTTGGAGCAATGTGAATTTTTTTTCTCCAAAAGTGATCTTTCTTGGTTATGTTGTATCTAAAGATGGAATTTCGATGGATGAATCAAAGGTGGCAGCAATCAAATCACGGCCAGTACCTTCAAGTGCAACAGAAGTAAGGAGTTTCCATGGCCTTGCTTCGTTTTAGTTTAGAGGAGGTTTGTCAAGAACTTCAGAACTATTGTTGCACTTCTCACTGAATGTATCAAACAAGGCTCTTTCGAATGGACTCAGTCTGCCCATAATGCATTTGAGAAAATCAAAGAGTGTTTGTGCACATCACCTATCTTGGCCCTTACCAGATTTCAACCAATTGTTTGAGGTTGAATGTGATGCAGGTGGAGTTGACATAGGGGCTGCCTTGGTAGAAAATAAACGCCCCGTAGCCTATTTCAACGAGAAATTGAATGAATCAAAGAAGAACTATAGTATGTATGATAAGGAGTTCTATGCTATTGTACGTGACCTAGATCATTGGAGTCATTACTTAAGGCCAAAACAATTTGTTCTACATTCTGATCATCAAGCCTTGAAGCATATAAATGGCCAAAACAAGTTGAATCCAAGACATGCAAAATGGGTAGAATTTCTCCAATCATTTATCTTTGTTTCAAAGTATAAAACAGGGAGTTCTAACATTGTTGCAGATGCCCTTTCAAGGAGATGTGCCATGCTTACTGTTCTTGGGGCAAGAGTGCTAGGCTTTACTTTCATTAAAGAATTGTACCTAAATGATCCGAATTTTTCTAAAGTAAGTCAAGAATGCAAAGAACAAGCTTGTGGTTCTTATTTCATACAAGACAGGTTTCTTATCAAGAACAACAAACTTTGCATTCCTAAGAGATCCATAAGGGAGCTACTAATTAGAGAGGCTCATGGAGGAGGATTGGCTGGTCATTTTGGCATCAACAAAACCCTTGGTGTATTACAAGAACATTTCTACTGGCCGCACATGGAAGGTGATGTTATTGCTCTTATTGCGTGCAACATGTCATCAAGCTAGAAGCCCGTTTCATCAAGGGTTGTATACTCCATTACTTGTTCCTTCTCAACCATGGAAGATATTTCTATGGATTTCATTGTGGCTTTGCCTCGTACTCAACGTGGGAAAGATGCTATAATGGTTGTGGTGGATCGTTTCTCCAAAATGGCACACTTTGTTCCGTGTCACAAAACAGATGATGCCATTCATGTTGCTGATTTATTTTTTTAAGAAATTGTGCGTCTTCATGGATTCCCTAAAACCATAGTTTCTGACAAAGATGTCAAGTTCTTGAGTTACTTTCGGAAATCATTGTAGAAGTTATTAGGCACCAAGTTATTGTTCAGCACTGCCTATCATCCGCAAACGGATGGACAGATGGAGGTAACTAATCGAACACTCACAACCTTGCTAGGAAGTATGGTGAGCAAGTCCTTGAAAGATTGGGATGTTAAACTTTCTTTTGTTGAGTTTGCTTATAACCGATCTCCAACTTATGCTATTGGATGCACACCATTTGAAGTGAACTATGGAGTGAATCCTCCCACCCCTATTGATCTAATACAACTGCCTAAGGGTAGTGAAGTTCACTTTGAGGCATCAACTCGAGCCAAAAAAATGCAAAAGATTCATGAACAGTCAAAGCAAAGATTGAACATGTCAACGACTTGTACAAGAAAAAGGCCAACAAGCATAGCAAGAAGGCTCTCTTTAAACCTGGAGATCTCGTGTGGTTGCACTTAAGGAAGGAAAGATTTCCTTTAAAAAGGAAGAACAAGCTAATGGCAAGAGGAGATGGACCATATAAGGTGTTGGCAAGGATTGGAGATAATGCCTACAAACTAGAGTTACCTAGGAATACAAACATATCAGCAACTTTCAATGTTGGATATCTTTCCCCTTATCTTGAAGATGGTCCATTAGAAGATTTAAGAGAAAATCCTTCCCAACCAGAGGAGGTTGATCAGAGGCATCCGTGTTATTTTCAGCCAGTATAAGACCAACCCATTTTATGTCTCCGGCTTACCTTGGGTTTGATTCAGAAGGCAGCTTTTTTTAATAATGAGTTTACAATAGCTTAAGTTGTTTTGAGTGTTCATACACAAAAGGAGTCGATTCTTGATTGTTGCTAGTGTGGTGTTGTCGCTTTGTCACTAGTAACATCAACCTTCGCCAATTTGGTTAATCTTGGTGGTGTTTAAGTACTTTATCCTTGATCTAATCAGAATGTTAATCACACCCTAGTCTTATCCCTCTTTTTACCCATCGACCTATACATCAGGATACTTCTATTCCAAGGAAGTAACGAAGCCGTCCAAGATCCGTAACTTGAAACTAAATGTGTACGAACTGTTTCAACTCTGAAATTTCGATGCTATCATCTCCGATGATAATAATGTCTATATGAACCACTAGTATGATTCGTCGACCGTAATGGTGTCTAAAGGACACATAATAATCTTGGGAACTATGAGTCATACCAAACTTTTGGAGAATATCTGAAAAATGTCCAAACCATGCTCTAGGGGACATACAATGATCGTCATAGTCGACATACCTTTGTGGTCTCCTCCTCAATAACAAACCACGTGGTAGTTCCATGTACACCTCCTCAAGAATGCCATTAAGAAAGGCGTTCTTGACATCCAAATAAAGAAGCGACGAATGATTAATGGCAGCGAAAGCTATACAAATGCGAACAGACGACATTTTAGCATTCGGGGAAAATGTCTCCTCATAGTCAACTCCGTGGGCTTGAGAATAACCCTTTGCAACTAACCGAGCTTTCAACCGATGCAGAGAACCATCAGGATGAAGTTTCACCGTGAATACCTACTTTGTGCTTGCCACGAGGAAATTGTTCCAAATCCCAAGTATGATTCTTTTGAAGGATCCATCTGTTCCTACATTGGAAACCATCCCGGTGATTAAGAGCCTCAGTTCCTAGGAACAAAATGGCTATCAATGGTTGTGGTATAGGCACACGACTCGGAAGATAGGTGGGAGTAAGCAAGATAATCCTGAATGGGATATCGGGTACGAGAAATAATCCTGAATGGGATATCGGGTACGAGTCCTTGTGCTTTATCGGAAGGCAATTGGAATATCGGGGAGCAATGCACCGGGTGGGTCACAAAGCTCGGTATGTGGTGGTAGAGGTGCATCAGTTACTGGATCAGGGACTATATCAGTAGATGATGATGTTTGTGTATCAGGTGGTGGAACGGGAGACTCATTAGAATCATGATGCACAGGTAAGGTCGTAAGGACTCTTGGGTCTCATGCACTTGTCTTTGGTGATGTCGAACATACACCTTGGTGAACCGAGTATCCACCGGATCTATCTGAATAATGGGATTTGATGCTAGTATAGGGAGGCAAAAGACTAGAGTATCAGAAGATTCAAAAGAGTTAGGAACAGGATTTGCCGACTCTTGAGCACTTCTTGTAGGTTTGAAAAATGGACTCGACTCATTGGAAGTGACATCAGCACATGTGAAATATCTACGAAGGGTTGGACTATAACAACGATAACCTTTTTGGACACACAAATACCCAAGGAACACACACTTGATAACACGTGCTGCAAGTTTATTATGTCTTGGACGATGATCACGAACATAAATACACATCCAAATACTTTAGGAGTCAATGGAAAAGGAGTGCCTCTCAGAAGTAGAATGAAGGAAGGTGTCTCCCCTTTAAGGACAGAAGATGGTATATGGTTAATTAGATAATTAGTTGTAAGAACCGCATCAGCACAAAAATTGTGATACACTATAGTGAATCATCATAGAGCAAGCCACATTCAGCAGATGACGATTCTTTCGTTCAACAATGCGATTTTGTTGGGGTGCATATACACATGAAGATTCATGTATAATACACCAAGCAAAGGCTATTTCCCTTGATTTGTTAATGAAAATAAGATATTGATTTTCTTTGACCCACAACCGCTGAGGTAATGTGCAACTTGAAGTATATATGCCTAGTTTTAGAAGTTGGTAATTGCATGTACGTCTTGCAGTAATGTTAACTATTTTATGATAGGGGGAGCTATTAATTTACAGAATGAATAGGTTCTTTTTCTCATGCATGATAATCATCATTATTATTATTATTTCTGAATTTTATTTTCTTGACATGTTGTAGATGATGGAAAGCTACAAGCAGAGAGGGGGAATCAGGTGAATTTTGGGTCATGTTTTATGGGTATGCTCCTATAGGCAAGAAGGTAGCAACTGAGGATGATATAATTCCAGAGAGGATTCCTGCCAAACTTTATTAGTACAATCCCAGCTTTTAGTTCCCTGTGATGAATTGAGGGGGTCAATAGTATCAGATTGAGACATGATATGCCTTGATACTTAGTTGCTCGCTGAGTTAATTGGGGCACAGCTATGTACTCATCATGTTAAAACCTGTTGGAATGTAGGCTTCGG